TCCCTTCCCTCCTTCCCTCCCCCTTCCCTCCCTCTGTTCCTCTCCTTCCCTCCCCCTTCCCTCCCCCTTCCCTCCCTCTGTTCCTCTCCTTCCTTCCCTCCCTCTGTTCCTCTCCTTCCCTCCCCCTTTCCCTCCCCCCTTCCCTCCCTCTGTTCCTCTCCATTTGTCAAACTGTTGGACTCACAAGAAGTTGCAAAAACAGTACAGGGAGCGCCATGCATGCCTCGCGCGGCTTCCCCCAGCTTCATGCGTCCAGAGTCCGTGTCATTTTTTGCAAAAACAAGAAGCCCGTGAACGGCAGATGCACGCTTGCCCCTGTGGTTGAGTTTATAGGCCTTCGAATCGGGAATGTCTTGCAGCCCCTGTGTGGGGCCAGAGGTTTTCTGGCTTTATTTTCCAGTGTTGGAGCAAATGCTGTCTTCTGGGGCAGCCTAACGTAGTGGGCGGTGGAGGCCCGGGGGACGCCCCGTGCGAGCTCCCGAGGCCAGTCCTTGGGTCCCCGGACACAGCCCAGGCCCCTCATGCTGTGTGGATGAGGCTCTCGGGACGCGTTTGCTCTGGTTAGCACGAGTTCCTCGGGTCCGGCGGCCACACCGTGTGACTTGCACACTCTTGGCCGCGAGCAGCGCTTGGCCGTCAGGAACCGTCAACAGAGGCCACCAGGCTTATGGTGGAAGGAGCCCTGGGGCTGGGGTTGGGGTTGGTCAGACCCAGGGCGAACGCCAGCTCTTGAAAACTGTGACTTTGGGCAAACCGCTTGACCTCTGACCTTTAGGCTACTCCCGTGTACAATGGGGAAAGGCAGCCTCTACCTCGGAAGCGGGCCAGCGTGTGTCATATCAGTGAGGCCTGGCAGAGTCCAAACGGCGGGTGCCCAGTGCACAGATCGGCGGGCGGACAGCCGCGACGGGGGCTGCCCCAGCCTTGCCTGGGGACAGCTGTCCCCTGCCGCCGGCACAGCCCCAGACCCCCTGGGGAACTCTGCACTGTCCCGTCATCCCGGCCCCAGCCAGGCCCTCCAGAATGGGTGAAAATCCACCCCGCTTTCCTCCTGCGGGAATCTGGTAGTGAAAACCTTGTCTTACTCATGTGGACACAGGACCAAGGAGCTCAGCAGAGCCGAACGTCCCTCAGGATGAGGGAGGCCATTGGCTCCACGCCCGGGTTCTTGGGACGTTAGAACACCCTGTCCTGACACATACAAGTGGTGGCCCTTCCCTCGAAGACAATGTGACTGTGCGGGGCGCTGACGGCAGCCCCTCGGGCCCAGTGGGCAAGGCGGTGGCATGGACCGCAGGCCTGGCCTCCAGGGTCAGGCTGGGTCTCCCGCCTGGGTCCAGCTCAGGTGTGGGGCGCTGTCGTCACCATGCAGTGATGGTGCCATCAGACGGGACCCTTCCCCAGACCAGAGGCACTTACGGGCTAGGCTCTCTTCTCTCCCCAGGCTCAGCTGCACAAGAGGCCAGAGGCGGACAGCCCGGGCGAGACCCCAGGCTGGAGCCCGCAGCCCAAGACCCCCAAGTCCCCGTTCCAGCTGGGCAGCCGTGTGCTTCCCTCCAGCATGGAGAAGGACGACAGGTGAGGGGCCTGGGGGCGAGGCCCCCCAGCCCAGGCTCAGGATGCACTCTGGGGGGGCCGGAGGGGGGCGTTGCTTAAAAGTGACCAGAAAGGGAGTTTCAACCGTTTTTTTCCCTTTAGAAGCAGAACTTTGATCACTCGAACTCTCGGCAGCCTGATGTCTAAAAACCCACCAAGGGGGGGGCACATGGGGGGCTCAGTGGGTGGAGCGTCCAGCTCTTGGTTTCAGCTCAGGTCATGATCTCGCGGTTTGCGGGTTCGAGCCCCACGTCGGGCTCTGCGCTGTCCGCTCAGAGCCTGCTGTGGGTTCTCTCTCTCCCTCTCTGCCCCTCCTCCACCCGCACACTCTCTCTCAAAAGTAAATAAATAAAGGGGCGCCTGGGTGGCTTAGTCGGTTAAGCGTCTGACTTTCGCTTAGGTCATGATCTCATGGTTTGTGGGTTCGAGCCCTGCGTTGGGCTCTGTGCTGACTGCCAGCTTAGAGCCTGGAGCCTGTTTCAGAGTCTGTATCTCCCTCTCTCTCTGACCCTCCCCTGCTCACGCTGTCTCTCTCTCTCCTAGAAATAAATAAAAATATTTTTTAAAAAAGTAAATAAATAAACACTTAGGAAAATAAATACAAATAAAAACACACCAAGGTGGGGGTGGAGGACCAGGAATCAGGGCAGCTGGCCTCACTCTTTTCCCCTACTCTCCACATCCCACATGGAATCCCAGGGCTCTGTTGTAGGAATACTGCTGACCCAGTCCAGCCTTCTCCAGACCGATGGGGAACCTGAGGCATCCTCCCTCCTCTTACTCTCCAGGGCAGGGCCTCCGTCTCAGGAGAATCAGGGAGACCCGGGAAGACGGATAGTAGGGCACAGCCAGGCTGACAAGATTGACTTAATTCAGCCGCCCTGCCTGGAGCCACATGACACAGAGATAGCCCAGCCCAGCACCTGCCCCTCCCCCACCCAGGGGGCTCCCAGACCAGCTGCTTTAGCAGCTGGGGGTGGAGGTTACAGAGCACGCTTCAGGGGCATTCAGATTGCACACATCCCACCTCCGGGCTTCATCCCAGAGGTGTAGCTTGGGGACTGCGTGGCCTAGGAGAGTCACTGGGCCTCTCTGCACCTCAGTCCCCTGGTCTGCAAAATGGGTTGACTCACCATTCTGACCTTCCAGGGTGGTCATGAAGACGAAATGGGGCCGCTGGCTTGCAGATGTGCTCAGCAAAGGACAGTGGGAGTCCTCTCACGGGTTAACACGTGACAGTTAGGGATTGTTCACGCTAACACCGTAATGTAGTGACTGCTGTGACAGAGCAGGGGTTGGCAAGCCCGAGTCCACGGGCCAAATGCAGTCTGCTGTCTGCTTTTGTAAATAAAGCTTTATCGGCCCGTGGCCACACCTGCTCCTCTCTGTATTGTCCACGGCTGCTCTCCTGTTTACAGCTGCAGAGCTGACTAGTTGTAACAGACACCCCATGCGTGATCCACAAAGTCAAAACTACTTACTCTCTGGCTCTTATCTGACCCCGTGCTACACAAAGGACTCGTAACCCAGACGTGAGGAAGAAAAATGCAGAAAAAGGCTTCTAAGAGAAGGAGTTGCCTGAACCGACTCACAACAGACAAAGATGGCAGCGTGAGGGGGCCCCAGGCTGAGGTCACAGCATGTGCAAAGGCCCGGAGGCGAGATATCACAGGGAGCTGCAGGCAGTGCATAGTATTAGAGCACAGGGTGGGCCGTGGGAAGCAGAAGACAAGAGGTTGAGAGAGAAACAGGCTACAGCTCAGACGGTGCCTCTCATGCCCTGGAGACACGAGAATCGCAGAGCTGCCCTGGGGTCTGCTGAAGGCTCTGGAGTTGCTCTGGGGCTGGAGGAGCCCCCAGACTGCGGTCTCAGAGGGCCCCCTGGAGGCCTGGTCTTGTGCCTCCGCCGTCAGGCAAGGCTTGCTTGGGTTAGCCCAGAGCCCTGTCTGCCCCAGGGATCTGTCCTTCCTCGCAAACAGCCCTCCCCTCCCTCATGGGGCCATGGGGTCAGGGACACTCCCTGAGAAGGGCATAGGTTGGGTCTTGTGAGCACTCCTGTTTGAATATAAAAGTGGTGTATGCACACCATAGAAATTTTGGAAAATATAAAAAGAATATAAAGCAGAAAGTGAAATCTCCCATGATTCGACACCCCCGCCCCCCCAAGGACCACCAGTGTGATCCTGGGCACCTCTCCTTCCCATCTGAAGTGTTTAGATGTAGCTGAGATTACAGCGTGTGTGTACGTAGCTCGCTCTCCCGTTAACATGTTTCACGTGACCGTTTTCCCAAGGCCATTAGACGATCTTCATAAACACGATCTTTTTCTTGCAAGAAATTTCAGAGAATGAGGACTTTCTTTGTTGTGTTTGTTAAAACGGTACGTTCTCATTACAAGCAATTTGGAGAACACAGCAAAAGTTCGTGAAGAAAGTAAAAAACAAAATACTCAGAAGTGTCACCACTGAGCTGGTAGCTGCTCAAATGTATTCACTTAGGGAAATGCATCGACCTGTGCACTTGTGGTTGGAGTGCTTTTCCGGGTGTGTGTTCTTAAAAAACAGCTGAAACAAATCTTAACCTCTTCCAAACAAGCATTTGTTAATTATTTGGTAAACGTAAGGCATATCTACCTGTGTCTTATGGACAATATATTAGTCAGTGTCTTCCAAAGAAATAGAACCGATAGGATGTATATATACATACACACACACAGAGTAGGAAGAGGGAGGGAGAGAGGGGGGAGGGAAAGGACAGAGGAAGGGAGAGAGAAAGGGCTGGAGGGAGAGATTGATATTTAAATTAAGGAACTGGCTCACACGATTATGGATGCTGGCAAGTTCCAAATCCTTAGGGCAGGCCAATAGGCTAGAGACTCAGGGAAGAACCAATGTTGTAGTTTGAGTCCCCAAAGCAGTCTGTTGTCGGATTTGTGGGGAGCTCAGCCTTTTTCTATTAAGGTCTTCAACTGATTGGATGAGGCCCACCCATAATATGGAGGGTAATCTGCTTTACTCAAGGTCTACTGATTTAAATATTACTTCTGTCTTAAAAAATGGCCTTCACAGAACCATGTAGAATAATGGTTACTCAAATACCTAGGTCCTGTGACCTAGCCAGGTTGACACATACAAATAACCATCACGGGCGTTTTCATGGGTGGAGAGCTGGAAGGATGGAGGCATGCCTGGGTGACAAACGGAAATAATTCTGTGTCACCATGACTTCACAGTGCAGATTATGTCATAGAACGGGTGCACCCCAATCTACTTAACGTTCCTCGTCGCTGGGTGCTTGGATTCCTGTTTCTTACAAATCTGTCACATCCACACAGGCGTCTTTCCTCCCTGCCAGTGCCTGGCTCAGTATCGCCTCGGCGGCACGGAGGATGCGCAGTCGGGTACCTCACAGCCCTGCCTGCGGGGAGGCCTCAGTCTGGCTCACACTTGACTCTCGCTGGCTTTGTGATTCAGGTCGGAAGAGCCCTCTCCCCAGTGGTTAAAGGAGCTGAAATCCAAGAAGAGGCAAAGCCTGTATGAGAACCAAGCTTGAGCAGGTATGAAGGGGCGCGGCAGGAGAATGTGGATGGAGCTTGCTGTCTGCAGTCAGGAACCTAGGCCAGAAGGCAAAGGGTTGGAGACTTTTGAACCCTAGGAGAGAAAAGGGAAAGTGGGTGCAGGTGTTCTGGGTTCCTGTCAAGAGGGTGGTGATGATCTGTTTCCTCTGAGGGGAAAAAACCCAGGTGGACAGCCTGGTCGAGGAGCCAGATAACTTGGGCTCTGGGCTCATGCACGTTGGCTAGCTCATCTCAAAACGCTTTCATAAAGTGGAACAGTGAGACATCAGAGATTAGCTTAATCCAAAATGTCCCCAATTTTTACATTCATACACAGCCTGCATAATTAAGAATTAATTTGAAAAAAAAAAAGATTAAAAAAGTCAAATGATTGGAAATGCCCCAGTGTAGGTCCCAAATGACTTCAGATCTCTAACTTCAGTTTCCTCATCTGTAAAATGGGCTAATAGTGCCCATGTTGTCAAATGGTCCCCAGGGCTCCGTGAAGAGGCACTAAAGTGCTGGCGCTTAGTCCTAAGTGTAGGAGCGTGCCGTTCATGCTCCTTAAATGTCCTGTCTGATGTGAGTAGCACGGGAACCCCGCCAGCCCCTTACCCACAAACCTCAAATCCAGAAAACACTGGCAACAAAGCATTTTCGTGAACTATTTAGTGGCAAAACCTGACCTGCATGGATGTCTTTACATTACACTGCAGGCATATTATAGGGGCGCTCCATGATATATACGTATGTTAGGTAATATATATATGCATGTGTATATGTGTGTATAATAAACGTGCCCCTCCCCCCAATCCTAAATCCCATCTAAATCTGTGCTCAGTTTTGGATAAAGAATCAGAGCCTGTGTTTATTTTGTGTTTAGTGCCATTCATGTAATACCTCAGTTAAACGTACAGAATTCCACATGAGGGAACTGAGGCTGGAACCCTGACCTGACTCTAAATTTCACATTTGTTCCACTGAATCTGACCACCTGCCACCTTTCCCGCCCTGCTCCTCCGGAAAAAAAGGTCATCTTTCCTGACCTGCGGCTTGTGGGGATGGCCGTCTTGGAGAATATACCCAGGAAAGGCTTTAAGGCTTAATTGCAGAGGCACATAGGGTCACGTGTTCCCCTTGCTGACCTCAGGACTGTCACTTCCTCTCCGGACAGGGGACACTGCCACGTCTAATGAATAGAAGCCTTAACTGTCGGAATCCGAGGACGAAGCCACGCTGCTGCCACTTCTTCCTGCACATGATTACCTGCCTGGACCCCTCCAGTCGGGTGGAGAACACTGTGGGGGGCCCCCTGCCCCTCGGCAGGCTCGCTCCGGATCAGGGTGGGAAGACCCACTCTCCATAAGCACTTGCACATCCCCCCAGGCAGCACTTCAGGCTGAGGAAGGAAACAAGTCTCCCCAGAACCGTCCATGTTGGTGGTTTTGTGTTTTACATACAAATGTGCATTTCTGCCCACCTGAGACTCCACTCCGGGAACATGGGTTTGAGGCTGGACCGTCTCCCTGGGTTTTGGAAAATCACCTGTATTGTGAAAGCACTTCGTCCTCCAACACCCAGGCAGGTCTCCTTCAAGGGCATATTTCCAAGGAAGAAGAAACCATCTGTTCCCTGCTGTAATTGTGGTCCAAGGCAGTGTTACAGGGTTGGGGTTCTGATTGATTTTTTGGCGAGTTCTGTCTCCCTCCCTCTCAAAGAATCAGCAGTTCCAATTTCTTAAACATACCCACCTTTCAAGAGTATTAATCCTATCAGTGGGGCTGTGTCCTGTCTCATTATATGTCTTTTTTTGTTTGCTTTAGAAGGCGTTAAAGCAATAATTCAGCCAATTTTCTTTGAAATTTGATATGTACATATGTTTTTTTACATTAGGGAGCAGAAGGAAAGATGTGTGAAGAGTTTGCTTGACATATTCGATCATCTCAGGTTATCCTATCCCTGTCCGTGCTTTGAAAACAGATTCTAATTGTCACCCTTTATACCAATTTTCTTGGTTTCTTTCCATCTGAGCTGTGATTTCTGTGGAGTGACCTTTGTCCCTTGGCCTCAAGTGTTCGTAAACTGGAGCCCAAATGGCAGTGCCTTCCCACTCAAACACCAGACCTGCCCTGAGAATCTTTTTCTCCAATCGTTTTTGAACACCACTCGAACCGCCAGTACGGAAGAACTATTCCAAATAGGCCTTTGAACAAATGCACAAATGGGGTTCCTTTGTTTCTTCTCACCTCTTCCTTCTACCACTCCTCTGCTCACCCCCCCAACCCCACCAAGTACACCTGACCAAGTGCTTATTTTAGGTGCAAACGCAGGAAGTGAGGGTCTTGCTGAAACTCTTCTCTGGACGAAAGTGCTAGATGCTAAGTGACAAAGTATAAGGTTCACCTTGCCTCTTTTTTTTTTTTTTTTCTTGCTAGCTCTGAGCTCATTCCCAGGAATCTCCAGGACCTCTGGGGATCATAGGCACTCTCTATGCTGTGTTTCTTTTTGGAAATTCTCAACACCAGCCTCTTCCACTTCTGAAACCCATGGCTCCAGCAAACATCCCAGTTGCCATAAACTTTGTGCCAACCTTGCCTGGGCCATTCATAGGGCACCCTGTGACTGCTGAAGGGTGCCAGGACTGAGTTGCCTAAGGCTGTATATGGAAAGGATGGGACACATGTACCCCCACCCGCTGACTTCCCAAAATGTGAAAATCTTTCTTGATAAATCCATTATTTGCAAACGGTGTCAAAACATACCTTTCTTCTTCCTGGCCATGTCTCCAGGAGTCTCCATTGGTCGCCCCATCTCTTATTTCCTCCCTTATCACCTTTTACCATTTCTTCCTTCTCTTGGGGGTGAGGGTGTGGGGGGAGAAGAGCAATCCATCTGGGTCCTGGAGAGCAGTTGTGGTTCAGCACCACGGACAGGGACTGGAGCCCCACCCCTTTCCCCCCTCCCCGATTGCTGTTGGCTGAACTTTGGCTACTGATGGGCGGATGTTGGACCCTGCTACCCACCCAAGCCTTTGCATCTGGAAGCCTCATTGCATCTGGATCTAGAGGTCTGGCGCTGCTTGGTAATAATTTGTCATTCTTTTCATCCCCCAAGTTAGTCGGCAATCAGTTCTCTGGGACATTGGGTGGGATACTTCTAGGACCTGCTACTTTGGGTGTTCTTCCCTTTCCTTTTCCCTTCCTTTCCTTTTTTTTTTTTTTTAAAGATCCAGTTAATGTTTTAAAACAATTTTGATGCAATGGCTTTCCGGGTCAATATATCCCTTTTAAAGACACTCCTCATGTTCTGACCCTGACTCTTCCTGGCTCCTGTCTTTCTTTTCTTCAAGTGGTAAGGGCCCCTTGATACCATCTTGGACAGTAGGAATTTACCTGCTCAGTTCAATGAGAATATTGATACCCACTGTGCAACATTGTCCAATGCTTTAGCCCAATATATCCAACAGGAAAGAAAAACACTTGAACATGAGATTAATCTGGAGTTCTTTTGCCTATCTTCCCACATCTTGGTTGGAAATAAAAATCCATTCAATTCCTTGGTGATTAGGACATACAAAGTCCACTCCACCCCCAAAACGGACTAGAGCAGCCTCACCTCTCTACTGAAGAACCGACCACCACAGAGGGTCAGGAGCCACCTTCCCCATGCAGGTTCCCCACACGCTCTGGATCCCACTGTGACCATTGCAGTGATGTTAGAGGTGATTGATGCTTGGAACTCTTGCAAATAGCTGGGCACGTGTGTCATTGGTTTTCTCCCCTTTCTGAACTGAGCTCTTTGGCGCTAAGCGGGTGGTTGGATGCTAGTTTCTTGAGTTTGCCTGGGCCACCTCTGGAAATCTGTCTCTTCTAAAACTAACTTAATATGCCTTAATCATTTGCATGCATTCAAGTCACCTGCCCTCATCTGACTGCCTTGCTAGGGGCCTTTGGCTCTCATTAAATGAGAGTCTTACACTGAACACAAAATCCTATGTATGTACAATCTCTCCCTCTGTCTTCACACATGCACACGTGCGCGTGTGTGCATGAGCGCGCGCGCATGCACACACACACACACACACCCTTTGCACATCAGCATTTCGATGGCTGGTCTTTTGATTTAGTCTATATCTTTTTCCCCTCCAGTAGATGTCCTTCTTCACGGTTCTTTGCCTGATAAAAAACAGAGGCCTTTGGTTGTGAAAGCTCGTGGTGAGACCTCAAAAATCAGTGTTGTGGAGAATTCCTTGGTGCCATCAGACAAACTCTGGTGAACCCAGAGGCTCGCATTGTTCGATGTTGGGGGTTTTGAGTGACACTCACCCGAGAGCCTCAGGTTGTCCAGGATTCAGGAAAAGGACAATCAGATGGGAGTTTTTCCAGGGGGACAAGCCAAGTCCTCTGCTTTCAGACAAATGTGTTTCCCTTTGCGCATCCTGGGAAGTGAGGCCAACTCTAGGTATTGCTAAGGAGCGAGACTAGAAATAGGCGCAGGCTTGAGGTCCCAGAGTTTAGGGTCCGTGCAAGGGATTCTGGGGGAACCCTCGATGTGCTTTCCCCACAGGAGACCTCAGCAGCTCCCGCCCGGTGCTGTTAGCTGCCTTGTCCACTCTTGCTTGTACGTGTTTTCATCAGGCACCTCTGGATTGCCCCAGGAGCTAGGTGTGATCACAAAGTGAAAAACCCACAGGCACGTGGTCAGATCACCTCCAAAACCAAACACTTTCTTAAAGGTGACTCGGGCCTGCATAGAGGACAGTGTCCCTCCCAGGGAGAATGCTGGCAGGCCTGCATGTCCCTCGCCCGTTTCTGTTTATCCCCCTTCAGTCCTTGTGGCTCCCCCTGTCCCACAGCCCTGTCCTTCAATACAGGAAGCTAGGCTGCTCAGCCTCTGTGCAAACTCGAATTTCACGGTGAGCCCGAGGGGAGATGTAGAGGCAGGACAAAAGCCCTATCCAATGGGAGATGCCCCCCCCCCTAAATTCACCCCATGGCAAGTCCCCACCGTAACGGAGAAATCTTCTACAGCCTCAGTTGTGCCTTTCTTCCTCCACCGTGTATTAAAATGTAGAAGCAAAACGCCCACAGCATCATGGTTCCGTGGGGCAGGAGGGACAGTTCCGACCTGGAGGGAGCCACTTGGAACAGGTCGGACCCACCCCACGTGTGGAAGGTGGTCCACCTTGGGCTATACCCACCTAGGATGCCACGGATCCAGGGTCTGCTGTGCTACAAGTCAACCCCGCTGGGATTCTGGGCAGACTAAGGTTCTGGAAACGTAGAGCCACATGGAAAACCAGTCGGTGTGTGTGACAGGTCTTTGCCAGCCTCTGTCTTTTGGCTCCCACCACCCCACGCCTGTAGAATATGCTTTCTTTTCTTTGGATGGAGTCCTGTGGGGAGGGGGATGGAAATCTGGGTTCTGCAAAGTCAGCCTGAGGTTCCTGGAAAGTTAACCCTTAAAATCAATCTGCCTCTCCCCCTCCCCCCTGCCCCTGCGTCTCCTTACATAATCAATCACTTTCCAGCCTGGTGCTGGAACATCTCCCTCTATGAATCTGACTGGCCCCTTTTATTAACAGTCTCCAGTGGTGTCATGCCTACAAAAAAAAAAAAAAAACTCATGCCCTTGTCTAAAGAACAATTTGAGCTTTTCACTGGTCTCATTCCACATAGCCTTATAGATCCTGTAAATAGGGGGCTTAAAAATAATATATTGTGTTATGGAAGATAATTTTGTACCATGCTGTTTCCTAAATCATACTCATGTCCTAGAAGCGATGTACTTCCCAGATGGTTCTGATCCTCAAAACACTTTGTAAGATGGAGGGAGTGGAAATATACATAAATACACTATATATTTTCCTAGCTTTTCTTCTGGGTCCCTTCCTGAGATATCTGAATTGCGGTAGAAAAGAAACTCTAGTCCCGTGTGTAGGTAAGTTAGACCTGCCTGCTGGCGTTCTTATAATTGCCTTATGAATTCACAAGCTCTGGGGGTTCTGAACAGAAGATGGACGACAGGCACTTTTTCCAATCCCCGAAAGAATCTCTAATTGCGTGACTGAGAATTCATCTAGAAAAACCTATATTTTTAATGTTAAAACAAATGGGGCTTCCCGGACCTCACAGACAAGTGCTTTTATATTTTGTAACTGTAAAGAGGTTTCATACGCACAGAAGCGCAGTTGGGATTCGGGCCAGCTGCCATTACACAGGATGACCTTTGCATGTACAAAGATGTTGCATTCAGACTATGAAAACAGCAAATAAAGCTTCGATGCGAGTTGCACTGCAGAACTCCGGGGGTCAGTGTGTGGATGAATGGACTCTCCCATGCATGCATGCCCGTCTCCAGCTGAGTCGGTCTGTTGTCTGTGTGAGCTGGGGGCCACCGGCAGGAAGGGGGGGAGCTGAGGTCCCAGGAGGGAGGACCCATGGAGACACAGCAGGACTTCCATTCAGCGTGGAGTTGAATCCTCATTCTGCCCCCTCCTGGTTGTGAGGTGCCCCTGAGCACTGGAGCTCCACAATGCGGGTGCTGACGGTGAAATGAGTGGGCAAGAGTTTAAGGCAGTGGATTGTGACCCCTCCCCCCCCCAATGACACCTAGCAAAGACGGGGACATTATTGGTGATTACAGAGAGGGACGGGAGATGCTACTGGCATCTCACAGGTAGAGGCCAGGGGTGCGGCTCGGTATCTCACAGGGCACGGGACGGCTCCCCCACCACCAGAAATTAACTGGCCTCGGATAGCAATAGTCTCGATATTGAGAAACTCCAGGCTAAGGAAACATCGCATGTGAAGGTGCTGGGCCACACAGTAGGTCCTTTTATGATCCAGGGATCCTAAGGGACCTGATGGGAGGAAGTCACACCAGATCCTCCTTAGACCTTCCCCTGTAGATCCCTAGCAGGTGGCGACTGCATCCCACAGCCACCAGCAGGAAGGAGTCCCATGGCTTGAACCGCCCGAGAAGGATCCTCCGTGAATGGAAGCCAGAGAGCCACAGCCCGAGCCGAGCGCTGTTTCATGATGTCTCCGTGGCTGTGCGTTTACCCACGGGGCCCTGACCTCCAGCAGCTCCCCAAGGTCACCTGCTTCCAGAGGCCGCTGCCGTCCGGCGTCTCATCACCATCTCCAGGGAGACGAGGCCACTGGGGCTCAGGCAGACCTGAGGATTTTAGCCAAAAATAACCACAGAACCAACCTGTTTCTTAACAATTCACTCCTTGGCCCTCTCCTCATTTTCGTCTTCCAACAATCCTGAATTATACTTTTTTTTAAAGTTTATTTTTGAGAGAGAGAGAGAGAGAGAGAGAGAGAGAGAGAGAGAATCAGAAACAGGCTCCAGGCTCTGAGCTGTCAGCACAGAGCCTGATGCGGGGCTCGAACTCGCAAACCGTGAGATCATGACCTGAGCCGAAGTCAGATACTTACCTGACTAAGCCACCCAGGTGCCCCTAATTATACTTTTAAAATGCATGGGCCTAGGTTTTTGGTTTCTGTTTTTCTGTTTCGGTTTTTTGTTTGTTTTTTGTTTTGTTTTGTTTTGTTAGTGGGTTGTGTTTTATTATGTGTCTGTTTTTTGTTTTGGTTTGGTTTGGGTTTTTTTTTTTTTATTGTAAATAAGGTGACAATCATGACTGCCTTTATTTCTACTGGGGCTAAGATCTGGGCCCTGGGGCAAACCAGCCTCTCCCCCTCTCTGCTGTGTGATGCTGGGTAAGTGATTTCACCT